TTTTCCGTAATGATCTTTTCTTGTCAAATTATAAATGTAATTGAATTTTATAAGTTCCAAATTATGATAACAGTCGACTCGTCTCAATTGGCAACCCTGACGAGAAAACATCTCTCCGCGAAATACTCACCGGGCAAATATCCCGGCGGCGGCGGCGGTGGCAGGCGGCACGGCCACACCATCCAGGCAGGGCCGCACTGAGAACTAGGGGGGCTCAGTATCATCAACGATTTATAAAATTTTAAGCTTATTACGATATGTGTCAGTTTATATTACTTTCTTACTTTACTCATAACATAATATAGATACCAATTTCACAGTTATTTAAGTAACTAGTGTACATGAGCTGGTTGTTCAAGTGCGTCACGGTTTTCTGTTAAAAACTCAATTTAATTAAATAATTCTTTTTGTTATTTCATTAGGAGAAATTAACCGTCTTATTATAAAATGTTAAGGCCATTATACATTGTAGAAAATAATAACATAGGCATTAACGTATCAGTACATGTGCTTAAAATAAAAATATAAATGCATATTTTTACAGAACAAAACCAAAAAATAAAATCAAAATCCAAATCAAATGTAGGTTGCTAGGGATGTATCATTGAAACTCTCACCATAAAATGAATACTAACTCAGTACAGGGTTTAATCCATTTGTATTATAATCCAAAATAAGACAGCACGTTTTAGTCCCAAGTTTTATTTTCTGTCATTTTGCTTTCCAATTGTTTAAACAAGTAGGTACTAACTACTAAGGTTAGTCTTCGTTTTATAATAAAACGGGTGTCACTTCTTTCAATAGTTTATTACACGTTTCATAATGAATTATTCGTATTATAAATGAAACGTCATCACTTGTCGAACGCTGGCGTTAGACTGTTGAGCTCCAGTCGACCACTGGTTTCCTAAGATGATGATTTGAATAGTGGTAGTGTTCGAAACGGCTAGCTACCTCATAATGACCACTCTCTCAAGAGCGACACGACCGAGAAGTGTACGAAAACAGATATGATCGTGATGCTAGTTTTTTAAACTAGCTTGAAAACAGCGGAGAAGACTCATAATCTTTATATATACCTCTAATCTAGCGTCTATTAATCACCTATAAGCTACCGCTAGACTTTCTTTGTATCTATGTACATACTAAAATATGAATATTACATTCTACATTACCCTGAGTCAATGACAATCCCATAAATTCAGACTGTGTAATTGAAAATTAAAGAAAGCTTTTTAACCGACTTCATTTGTGATGATGATGTGACACCCTTTAAGGTTGATTTCATCCCCTAGAGGCGACTCTGGTCCGACTGTTCGGCGCCCGTTCGTCAAACAGCTTTACTATGTGACATTTTTTACGGCACCCTTATCTGTTTGTGATAGAGACGAAATTCCTTTGCATGCCTTCACAACCGCTCGCTGTGCTTTCCACCACTCTTGACCTGGCATTGAAGTCTGACATGAAACAGTGCCTTATCATTTGGGGTGTTAAGTTTACATTTCTTTGGGTTTCACAAAACGTTTGTATCGAATGTACTAAGGTTACTGGCGTGGTGCCATGTTGTTCATTGTAACTATAAGAATATGGTTGATATTAAGAAAGATTACTAGACGGTGGTCGGCAGAACCAGTACGTGCTTCTAGCCCGATTGGAGTGCCTTGTTGAATATTGACTGTCCTGCGAAATCTTTAGCTGGTTTTTCCATAAAGACCATTGTAGTAACTATATAAATAAATCGCTTGTGTGATATAATACTTTAGACAATTGAAAAATATATTTATCAATTATATATTAGAACTAAATTTCATCTAAACCGAATATTTAAAAATATTTGTAAAAATACTTATATCTTTCAGCTGTTTAGGTGGATTGCATGAAAATTGATGAAAATACTCTCACTAGTAGAGAAAAGTAATGAGTGAGAGTCTCGGGTAGCTCAATGGTTAAAGTTGTTACCAGAATTGATAAAGGTTGTGATTTCGAGTCTGATCTCGGGGTATCTGGGGTTGGTCATTTTTTAAGCATTAAGAAGAAGTAACAATTGGTAAAATTGCACGAAACTGATATTTTGTTGTGAAAAAAAAAAAACACAAATCTGTTACTGCGTTCTATCTGATTATCGCGGGATTGTTGATGGAAGCTAATATTTTATGTCAATTCCTATCATCATGTTTTTAATTAAGAATTAGGGCTTTCTACCCATTAATTTTAAGTGTAACGTAACTTAATATAATATAATTGATACACAAGGTAGTTGCTTTTATTTTATTATACTCATAATATCAAACATCATTACACATCATTAAAAATAAATGTATTAAAACAGTTAGCTAGGAAGTCGTTATATCTATGAATATAATTAGTAAGTATATAAATAGTTTTATTAACAATAGTGTATAGTTATAAAGAACAGTTTGCTGTTGAAATAAATAAACTAGGTTCGTTCTTGGGAAAGATATGTTTATATCTTAACATTTTTTTAGATTGTTTTTCTATCGATTTAAAATTAAAACCAGGTGTGTATCGAGTATCGACACACAATGTTACCAACGGAACAATGTCACTGCCGCCAGGCGCTCTCCTGTGGGGTCGAAATGAGTGATGGCGTCGATACGGGGCCTACTGATGGACGCACATCATTCACTCAATCATTCATTCACTCTCTACTCCCTCTCTTATGGTCGCTGTGCTGTTTGGGATAAGGAAGTTTGATGTGAATGAACGTTTTGCATAATTGCTTTTGGAAGTGTATGATCTTAATCCTTAATTTGGAATAGTATGGAATTTCTATTGCATACAAGTTTACAACTGAATAATGTTGTCACTATTTGGTGATAATGAAAAGTTTTATATGGTTTGCGAGTAATTAATAGAAAATATACATATATTCAGGCTCGAATGACGCAGTACCTTATGGTCGGTCTCTATTTATCTTACTGACTTGCCACATTGCGTAGTCTCCTCAAATCAAAATAATAGCTGCAATTTTTTTAACATATCTCTAGGTACCTATATAATTTTAATATGATTTGAATTAAGTGGTCAGCTGCGGCTATTTAGATTTATCGTTTTTCATAACTACTGTATAGTCTACGAGTATGTTCAAGAATAATGTTGGATTCAAATGGTAAAAGAATATTTCAAAATTCGGGGCCTGGTTTTTTAAATATAATTAATTATCCTTATTATATTTGATTACTGAGAAATATATTTAATGGAAAATGTATATGTTAAATTAATAATATTCTCCAGTACAGCATGGTGAATGTAAAATTGATCAATTATAATAATTAGAACAAGTTTTCATCTTTATCGAAAGTTTCAATATTTGTAAAATTATATTTTTCGGTTGTTTGAATGGATTGCCTGAACATTGACGAAAATACGATCTGTAGTAGCGAAAAAGTAGCAAGTGCTTGACGTATTCGACAGTCCTGTAAGGGCCTGGGTAGCTCAGTGGTTAGAGCAGTCGCCCGGATTGCGAAAGGCCGTGTGTTGGAGTCCCATCTCAGAGTACCAGGGTCAAGTGAATTTTTTAGCATTTTTCAATTAGGAAAACGTTATTGCTGTCTTTAGTGAATTTAATATTCTAATAGTGCAATACAGCAAAGGTCCGATTTGATGCAGTTCGGCATTCTCTACCAGTAAACCGGTAAGAGTGTCAAATAAGGCACACGGGTGGTGTATTGCGCATCAAATATATTAGAAAAAATAAACTAAGTAACTTAGAATAGGTTTGACAACAATAAAATATATTCTATTAAATAATTCGATTCAAACAAACTATCAAATATTTCTTTTTTTTATGATATTAATATAGATTGATATATTAAGCAATGATTAGTAGCTTGCACACTACAACATTATTTCATCAGCCAGCACCCTTTAAGTTTGAACCCTGTTTAGAAAAGTGTAATAAGCATGTAATTCTATGTCTCTGTCTGACCATGACAAGTGTACAAGATAGCTTAACAAGGATAGATAGCGACTGGTATCGTCGCGTGCAACAGGTGGTATTTAAAGCGCTTGGGCGCGCCGAAGTTCTGATAAGTAAGTAGGTACCTATAACCTATACGTTATGTCAAAGGAAACAAGGAATTAGTGTTGCGAATGATAAGACTTTAATAATATCGATAAATAAGGAATTTTCTGATGTAATAATATTTCACCTAAATAAAAGAAAGTCGTGTTAGTTATACCATTTATAATCTCGAGAACGGCTGGAGGCGGTTTTTATGTTATTTCTGTTTTTGGATTTGTTGTTATCGGGAATAGGATAATAAGTAATAAAATATCATATTATATCAACAATAATAATAATTATAAGACTCAAAAGTTAGTGATAATAGTGATTTATTATAATAAAACGCAACTGAAGGTTCACGTAATGTTGTCTATGTCTATGGTTTGTGTAAAATTATCGCTAAATCAAGAAGTTTATATATTTTTACATTTCAATTTCTTGGGCGGAGCAAAGTTCGCCGAACCTTAGCGCCGGCTGTGGCGCCGGGCCCAATAAATGGACATATGTATAGATATCAGTATAATATCTAAGGTTGATTTGATTGTTTTTTTTCAAAGTAGAAATTTTAGTTTAAGATTTATGTTATATGCATTCTATAGCTCATTTTCATTCATTATTTTATGTCAAGGTTTGACAAGGATTTTTCGACCGTACGCCGTAATTTATATTATAATCTATATTAACTTAATCATGTATGTTTATATTGATAAATGAAAATCGTCTTAATCATTTTAAATTCAACGTTAAATATGTACTTATATATAGAAGGTACATATCATTATTTAATTGTCGTTTCAAATAAAGCGAATTAATTGGTTTGTTATGCCATCTATATTCGGAGTCAGAACTATTATTATTATTGTCGTGGCGTCATCTATCGGGGAGTAGCAAAACTAGAACGAAGGGTGTATTTGGTTCATATGCATTCCATAGAGGGCGTTCTTTACTTGGTGATATTTTTTTTTTGTGTCATATGATTAAAAATTCTGATTGTTTGTTACAGAACGCACCGAGTCAAGAGCCAGTGTACAGAAAAGTGGCGATAGTAGAAAATTTCTTCGATATCATTTATACTGTTCATGTTGAACTCGAAGGGCGACCTGGGAAACATGCGGGACAAAAACGGACTTACAGAACCGTAAGTACGCGTTTTAAATATTTTTGTAATGCTATGAATTTATCGAAAATGATAAATTATTATTATATACAAATATTAGATAGCAGCTCCAAATAAAGTGTACTAAACGTGTATTTATTTTACTGCCATCTATCCATTATTTGAAAAAAAAAACAAACATTCGACGTCTCGTATTAAGCACTCCATAACGTAAAGCTTTGTGGAAGATAAATGCGGAGACTAGATGGCGCTAGTAAATCATTAACTAGCTTATGTTTGTGATTTTGTCTGAAGAACTTCCAATTAATATCGCAAAACCTCTGTTTTCTTCAAATATGTACAAAAAGTTGTTTTATTTTAAGTGAAAATATCTTGAAAAACGATGGACGGAGACAATTATTCTACTCTTATTTTGGGTTATTTTCCTAAAAGCCACTTAAGTTCCATACACACACTGCCACCTCTCTTTTTATTAAGTGTGATGATTTGAAATGCGAAAACTATTAATTAAGTGATTATTAGAATATTAGTGATTAGTTAAATTGTCTCTTCAAGATTTTTTTAGTTAGTGAATATTTTACAAAAAAACTAAACATTGAATTATGCACAAATAAATAGTATTGTTAATGGCAGTGAAGTCGCCTTTTTATATTAGTGACTGTTTCAAAAACCACTATGTGTGAATGAATTATACATAAGTGTAAATAAAAAATAATAATAAAAAATCATGTCAGTTGTATGATAAATATTTTTTGTTTCATTAATATATTTTTAATCTGAATATATAACTAAATATACTGTGAGTATTACAAAATCACGTTTGCAGTGTGGGACCCCCTTTAAATATTTATTTTGTTCTATTTTTTAGTATTTGTGGTTGTAACGGTTGAGATACTCGCCTGGTGACAGACAGACAGCCAGACGGACGGACTGGCTCAGTAACAGGGTCTAGTTTTTCTCCTTGGGAACCCTAAAAGACACTTTTTAATACAATATTTTAATGGCTGATAATTTGAATGAATAGTAGCTTGTGGGTTGAACATGTTTTTTTTATGGTCACAGCTTAACATTTTTTATGGTCACAGCTAGATTAGTACTATCGAAGACTCGAACAAAAGGTGTTAATAAAAACACTTAGCTCCGACTATTATGTTACCGTGAAAATACATTTTTTCTCTATGTAATTCGATGAAGCTTGAATTTCTTTTTGTCTTTCTATCATACCATACAAATCGAAAAATATCGTTATTTTTGTCAATCTGATAATATTGTCTGTTAATTGATAATTCACGATCATAACTCTAAATTAATTGATCAGTGTATAGAATTTGAATTCAGTTATCATTTTCACTACTATTTAACTAAAACATAGCACACTAGTCGTACCAAGAAAATTATCTGAGTAAGAAAACAACACACCAACGTAGTTTACTTTCCACGTTCTTATCTAATCACGGATGTTTTCGCCAACAGATCACGGAGACTTACGCGTTTCTACCAAGGGAGGCAGTCACGCGCTTCCTGACCGGATGCGCCGAGTGTGCCCGGCGCCCGCGCAGCGCTTCGCCCCCGCCGCTGCCCACACCGTCCCCATCCCCCACGAGACACCCCACTTATCTACCCTTCTTACCCCATTGCGCCCCAGACTTCACCCGCAACTGGGAATCGGAAATAGACGCGCAGAACTTTTACGAGCCGAAATTTGACTACAACGATTTACAACCGCTCAAGAAAATAGAAAGTCCTAAACCGCCAGATGAAGATGAACCGACTTATATTGAATTGACCTCGAAAAAGGTTAACGGGTTTGAGTCGACGTCTGCTTTTAGTAGAAATTCCCCAATAGAACCAGCTTTCAGAGAAGAAGAGCCTGTTAGGACTGATCCTGAAATCGACAAGGATGAAAATAGTCTTATAGATGTCGAAGATGTAAAAAACGACAGCCCCGTGCTGGTGACGACGAAGAAGGACGAGGAAGAAAGCAAAGAAAATGAGGTGCATGTGTCAGAAAGTACCAGGGCTACTGAAAATACTGCAGTTAAAGATAATACTGAGAATAGAACGGAGAAGAAATATAACCCGTTGGATGTTGCAAATTTGACATCGAAAGATCCGCCTAAGTCTAGATCGCCGCCTAGGAAAAAGTTACTACCTACTAGTATAGAATATCCGAACACTTTTGGCAGGGTTCCGAAACCTTGGAGACCTGACGGAGGAATGTTTTATGGTGGGGAGGAAATCGACTACAGCGTGCCTATAACGACGGCGTATCTTAAACACATGCGGAGTATGGCGTTTCAAGAAAGGATGGACAACGAAAATAAGGTATGTATTTAAAATTTATTTTCTTAGATGATGACAAATAGGTATAAGCTATTTTAATATTGATATTTGTTTAGGTATTGATATACCCTTGACTATTTTATATCATCATTACTGTTCCATAAAATTCAACATTCGAAATCATAACCCGTCAACGGTCAAAGCATTCCAAAATAACTTCGAATAGAATAATTCGGAACAAATTCAAAACTGAACAAACACATGATTTTGCGGGTTGTGCCTTTAACCCTGGCTTAAACTTGTTTAGAACTGGCAAAGCTGGCGGTCGTCGAGACCCGCAATGCCTTTGTGAGTGGTCCAAACGACCCCCGTTTGTAACTAGCACTCACTGTTCGATCTAAAATACTGTATTTTGGGCCGCATGTTTTTAACTATGTCGTCCGACGTGATCGATGTTCAGTGTTCTACTTTGATGATTTCATTTTGTTTAATGAATAAAAAATCACTTATTTAGTGAGATTTGTTTTGTTCTGAACTATGGATGAAATTAATTTAGTTTTTTTTAAGTGGTCCTACTTTTATATATTTCTTTTCATTTAGTGAGTTATTTTATTTTTTAGACATATATAGGAGAACTTAAATATACCATACTAAAATAAAGCGAAAATTCTTATTTATAAAAAATAAAATAATCAAATTTAGATACTACCGCCATCTTTTGAAAGTAAAAGTAATAATCGCTAAAAGTTTTTTTTAAGTACATGTATAACCAGTGTATGCAAATATATATTTTACCCTGGTCATAGTATTAATGAGAACTATTTTCCATAAAAAAGGTAAAATGATAAAAAACGCTCTAACTTTTTTTATATGAAAATTGAATTACCAGCTAAAGATATAAATCTGAAGTACCAGGGCAACAGGATTTATAGGTATTACAGCACCTGACGTAACCCTGGCTCGTCCCTTCGTCCGGATCGACCGATTGATTCGCACAAAGAGAACGGTCACGCCATAATCGGCCCGGCACATCTTTTCTAACTCATTTTTCTTTGCCGGGGGTGGGAGGGCAAAGCAAAGGACAAAAAGATGCGCACACGAGAAGTGGGCAACTAGATGTTCTTATGATGGCTTTTTGCGATAGACTAAGAGTAATATTCGGCAAAAAATAAATCTCGGAAACTCGTCGTTCTTATTCGAGCTTAGTGTAATCGTGTCATAGACCAGTTAAATCGGGAATAAAAGTAAAGACAGAAAAAACAATAAGATAATAATTTAATAGAATTTTTAAACACCCTTAATATGGGTATCTTCAAAACTCAATTTACCCTCATAATTGACTTTCAATTGTAGTTATGTTATATTCTAATTTTCTTGAAATATCGAAGCTTTTATAAATGAACTAGCTATTTTTCCGACTTTATCCTCGTAAATTACAGCCCATGTCATCTACGTGTTATGTAACTTCCCGTAGGTGAAAGCATTCTTAAAAAAGATCTACTAGATTTCTAGATTATTCAAGTAATCAAATAAAAAATCAAATCTTTTCTTTTTATATTATTTGTATAGATATGCTAAAAACAGACACTATGAAGAATAAACTTTTTAATTGATATTCGATATTATGCATTTGTATATTTCTAGTATTGCCACTAAAAATATATTGTATGATTAGATTTTTTCGTTTTGTTTTTACATAAACAAATAACATAATTTCCCACAAGACTTCAGCAGGCAACACAACATAGTCCCAATCTTAATTGACACTGCAAACAAGCTGAAACTAAACGCTATGTACCCAACTAACAAAAAGTTTTACGGCTGACCTTTTTCGTGTGGTACCTCCTAGAGGGTCAGTGAGGGTATCGTCCCTCCGACCCCTAAGGCCCCCATCGCAGTGCGACTTGTAAGATTGATTGGGGCTCCTTCAGTCCATTGCCGACCCCCTGTGGGATATTTCGACCCTACCCCCCTTTTTTCTCTGTTGAGTGTTAGAGATTTAACGTTACTGGATGTGCCATTACGAAATACGATATTAGCGGTCAGGTTTATTTAGACTACTATGGAAATAACACAGTTCTGTGGGAAATAATCACAGAACATAAAGTGGGAAATAATGTTAAAATAGCGTAAAATAATAAAGTAGGTATAAACGAGGTTGAAAATATAAGGAATGCGATTCTGTAATAAAAAAAGTTAAAGTCTTTCTCAAGCACGGCGCTGTCACAGCATAGATGTTTAATGAAGTAAAACCTACTTCAAAAGGCAATAAAAGTTTTATTTCATTGTAGCTTTAAACTATCTCTCTATTAAAAGAAATACTATCTGTCAATGCTAAAAGCTTTAATTTATTTCATTAAATCCGTGTCCTGTGATAATGCTGTGCTTTAGAAAGGCTTCGACGCTTTTATTACAGAATAGCAGTGCCTAATCGTGTAAGAGTTTTCTGACAAAATTCTCTTTGACTACTGAACAAATAAATACTTAAAAATTTCGAACTACCTTTTTAATAATACAAATTCGTTTAGAAAACTGAAATTAATCGTATAGTAATACATTACAAATATATTAGTATATTTACATTGAAAGGGCACCACTGGCGCATAAATAAGATTAAACAACGGTACCTTTCAAATAAAGTGTGGTTTACGTTATTTTCATGTTCTGAAAAGATTTGTTTAAGACATACTCGTACTTTTATTATATAAATGATCCATTTTGCATTCACAGTCCTCTAGGTACTGTTACATATTTTTAATGAAGAATATTTATCATCATAGAATTGTAAAAATATTTCTTTCGGCTGTGATTGATAAAAATACGTACACTAGTAGAGCAAAGTAACGAGTGTTTGATAAATTCGTCAGTCCTGTTGGGTCTCGGGTAGCTCAATGGTTGCAGTTGACCGGATTGGAAAATATTGTGGGTTCGAGTGCCAAATTGAGGTACCTACCATTTTTTTAACGCCCTCATACGCGGGTGATATAGGCTATAATATACACGGACGAAGTCGCGGGGAAACAGCTAGTTATTTAATAATAGAAACATTATTTGAATCCAATTGAACGCCTGTGTCACATCCAGTGGTTCATAAACGCCCACCCCCTTTTTTGTATCAGGGGCTGTTAATAACACAACAGGCTATTTTATTCGCCGACCGCCACTTGCGGCGTGCGGCGCCTTTGATGTCCGAGATTAGAAGTTTGCTTAGTTCTGGAGCAGCACGTTATGTGGACAATGCCGAATATTTGATGTGCCGCCATTTTGTTCGGTTGCCTACATTTTATCAGTTCTAGCAATTAATTTAGTCTATATATGTGTATGTGTAAAGTTTTCTGTTGTCGCCTTACGAGGTAAATATTTTACTAGCGTTTTGGTGTTATTTATTACTTACTTTCTGTTTTCCCACGACGTTGCTCGCTTAAATCATAGGCTTTATCACCCGCGTATTTCGCTTTCGCGCTTTCAGTAGATGAAAGATTTTCAAAATTGAAACAGTATTTCGGAAAATTATCCTAAACAAACAAAGTAACTTTAGCTCCACTTTATAATATTAATGTAGGTACATTATGTCGCATGCTGTGACCACTAAATATTGAGGTATCAATCCCACTTTCAAATAATTTCACTTTTAAGGCTTTTTGCATCTAATAAAAAGATTTTCAACATTCTTTTGGAGGTTACAGTTTTATTAATATAAGTTAATAACATTGAAATTTTGTAATTTATTAGTGAAAAACGGAAAACATGGCAATGGTTGCAAAGAACCTCGCTTAATTTTGATTTAATCAGGAATTTTAATACATACAATATCGTAAAAAAAAAAATTTTAGGAAAACTGAATCCGATGTGTTGTTGTTAATGCCAAGATGCATAACTTCTTAGAGACTATGACTAAAGGCAAATCTTCTTTGGGCAACCGATTTCCTAAGAAATCCAGTACAATAGACGTATCCGAAGTGATATTGTATCGTGGCAATGGAGGTTGAAGACGATATATACTCCTCTCAAGAATCTTTTCATTAATCATATTAGGACCTACAATCAAACATAGTGCTAATCTGCAATTATTGACAGTACTATAAATGGCACTTCATTAAATAATTTTATTAAAAAATAAATAATGTTTAGGATTGATGCCTAAGGTAAACGTTGTAATGCTTGAATGAAATAATATAAATAGATGCAAACATTATATCAATAGATAACGAAGGGATATCTACGCTGCTCTGATAAGTAAGACACCGGCCACCAGGGTAAGTTTGGTGTGGATGCTGCGGCGTCTGGAATAACATATAATCAAATTATCCGACTGTTTTAATATAATCTGATCTGATAATAAAGGGGTTAGAATCACAGGGTACTATGGTTGTGTGGTCCACAAGCGCGCTACCGTGACACCATTAGCTTTATCTGAAATATTTTTTTAAAGAATTTCAATATCATAGAAAAAGGGGTGCGCGTAAAACTAAAAGTCGCACCAAGGTACAGTAAACGCGTTAATTGCATAACAATCTGGATCACAATTTCATGACATATATGTTTAATTTTGCTAGCAAAAAGGTCAACGTTCAGCACATCAAACTTTAAGATAATATTTTGAAAGCTGTACCTGAAAGTTCCTATTCTATATCTGGATGTAAATGTCTCGATTCATAGTCCGCCTTTTTGTTATCAGCCGATTTAATTTAAGAGGCACATATATTTAACCCACGGAATTCGCACCATTGCAAGATTTTCCTTGTGATATCTAACCTAAGACCTATATTTCATTATATTTCTTTATCAATATTTTCTGGAGGCAAACCTGAAATTTTGGAATCTATTTAATAACACAAAAAAATACATTTTTGAGACACTAGACGTGCCATGCGTAATAATGACGTCACAGGGTTCATAATTTATAAATATAAACGTTGCTGTATTTGGAAAAAATTCTATAGGATATAATTTACTCGAGAGAAATTACGGGAAACAGCTAGTTCAAATCATGTGAGATTTGAATTTTAACCTTTTTTTTTGTCAGCTATTTTATATGCGTTTATCCAAACGATTGATTATCTACCTATCATTGAGGTTTTAAACATTGCCATATTAAAAAAAAATAGTACGCAGTAAACTAAAACTAGGAAATAACGTCGCTCTCACTAATTTATTGACTCTGGTGTTCTGACCTTGAAAGTGATGTGATTACTGTACCCTTGTGATCGATTCTCCGTTTTAATAACAGAGGGTCTTTGTGACCCCATGTTTTAATTGAGGGGTTGATGTTACTTTAAAGGAATTTGTGTTTTAATACTTTTACTTAAAGGCCTATAATCGTTTGTTAATGAACTGTTAGCATGAAATTTTAAATTGATAGAAATTGTATTTAACGTGCTTAAAGATTTATGCTACAGAAATTTAAGCGTTTAAGATTGTCTATTCCTTCGTTGACATCATTGTGTATAATGTACATATGAATATAGAGAAACCTGTTTAGTATTGTAGCAGTTAATGTAGAGTTGACAACTTTTAATAGATATTAACGTATTAACTTAAATCTTTCAAGTAATTGAGTCTGGTTCATATATAGTCAAAACATTTTTTTAGGCAATAACAGGATTTCCTAACCACAAGTCATAAAGTAAAATTGTTTTGTATGTTTTTTCCCAATCGCGTTGTATGCACTGTTTCTCTGGTTATATTGCGTATATCTAACACCTTCTTGTCAATTAGGAAGGAAGGTGTGCTGATGTAATTAAGAAGTTCTATTTTTATCCTGTTAGGTTTTTAGTTTTAACTTTAAATCAAGTATTTTTAATTTTTATATGTTTTATTTATAACAGAATTCCAAAAAAGGAGGATTTCAATTTCACCTTTACAATAGCGCAATATTCGTCATGTGCTTCAAATTGCGTGTTAAATTTTGTAGTCTGATATCGACGGCCGCATAGAATAAACGTGTAAGAGCTGTAACAAAAAAAAAGTTTGCATAATTTGATGGAAAATGTTCTTCTGCAGCACGTTAATTTTTTTTGTGCCTTTTACTCAAATATTTTCAAAATTATAGTAACATAAATGTTTGTCGTAGGGCTTTATCGATTTAATTCGTAGCCCGAATATTAGTATAACCCAAAAATAATTCCCTCAAGCGTACTAGTTAGCACACGAATAAGCGTATGTAGTTTCATACTTAAATATTTTTCGCGTTTAAAATTGCAATGCGCTTTGAACGTTTATTCATGTGAGAGTGTAAATCACCTTACAGTGTAAAGATCCTTGCAGAATTTGCAAACTATAACCATATGGTGTATGAACGTATTATACTAAATAAATTAAGCAACTATTTTTGTATTAAACACTGATATTTTCCGTTTTCTTATTTGAATCACATTTCGTAAATGAACATAAAACATCGTTTTAGACAAAGTGTTACTACATATTTGATACATGTCTGAGTCTGAATCGTAGGCTGATATGTAAAGAGAGTGCAGGTTACTTTATGAATGTTGGTACTCAAATTAAAGAATCTTTAACTACAGCAACTCATTATACGAGTATGTTTGAACTGGTTAAGTAACAAGGGTAAATAAAAACAATTACTATTGTACCTACTACAATATCGTATTTTGCTTAAAGTCATTCAAACCGTCAGGGTAATGTTTAAAATTACGTAGTGATTGTAACTGCTTTCTATTTAAATTTAATAACTATCACACAACATCACATAAATTATTCAGATCCCAAAATTGAGTAGCTAAAGTTCTTGTATTGTGGAAATCTGAAGTAAGGATGGTATCCAATGTGCCAATCCTTGATATTGTATTGTATATCAGTGTGGGGGGTGGCCTGTAAAACTACATTGAGGCCTGTTGAAGTAGCGCAACGTGCAGTCCTTAAGATATGCACTTTTCGACCTTTCTACTATCCAACGTCACTTAGAATTGTCAAATTCTTTATCAGAATTGCGAGGTTTTAACAGTGAGGCAGTTGGCCTTGGTTGAGCTTGTCCTTAAACAACATAGGCACACTACCTATGATCCCAATACGTTAACAAAAAGGCAAAAGTACAAGGTGTGCAAAAGGCTTCGTAGTTTTCGAACTGCTTTTGCACAGAGGTCATTTGCATTTCTGGGACCACATTTGTACAATGCAGTAAATAAAGTTCTTAGTATATATAGTCTAAATACATATTCTTGTAAGGTAACACTAAAAAAATGGCTCTTAACCTTGTCATATGAAGATACAGAAGAACTTTTTAACATAATATCTTAAATAAAACGACAATCCTATACTACGAAAGGTTTTGGTACTAGGGTGATGCTTGTAATTTTTGATGATACTTTATTAAATGAAATGGTATGTAGTTTGTATATGACATATTATGTTATTTATTTATGTTTGGGTTTATATTGAATATTTTTGTGACACATGTAAATGATCCTGCTGTTGATATGGTGCACGCTTTGTATTATAAGTTTGTTTTTCTTTAAGTTAATTAAGACATAATGTTTTGTGCGTTCGAGGATTTTGATAATGGTGAAGTAAAACTGTATTCTAAGAGGTGGTGAGCCTGCTGGCCTGAATTACAGGCAGTTAAAATGCTTAGCTTGGGCAGCAGTCTCCCACAAACATATTGTTAAAACAAATTAGAAAAAATCTGTGAACGTATATTAATTTTGTGTATTTTGTGGAAGAAGTGAAATAAAATAAATAAAAAATAAAAATAAAAATTAAAAAGAATCTAAAAAAAAAGAATCTATCACAACACCCAGTCCCCAGATAATATAATAGAAAAGTTGTGACATCGTGGAACCGCAAAAGCGTCAGTCAGCCACGGCAGTTGAGTATTATACTCAGAGTGACTTGATAAAGCCATAAATGCATGAGGGCAGCATCAGTTATTGCCCAAGCACGTGCTTTTGAGTGAAGGCTAGAATTTTTTATCCAAGTCAACATAGGCTCCTGTAACTAGAGTGGCCAAAGATCTAAGAGTAAATTTGCCAAATTGACCCGCAGTCACACCGAAGATATCCCGGACATCAGCTTGTACGAGATAAATGTGGCTCTTAGTAACTTCAGAACAACTAGGCACCGGGTAAGGATGGAATTATAACTGAGCTTCTGAATGTAGGTGGAACGCCTGTGCTTTAAATCCAATATCCAATTCCATTATCTATGATAGCAGAACGCATCAGGATCGGCACACAAGTACTGGTGTTATTGAAAAAAGTGACAAAAGTAACTTGAAAATTTTCAGGTCTTTATCGCCGATGAGCTATGGTTACAATTGTTTTCAAGTCGCAAGTCGGTT